TTCTTGTTTACATGGATATAGTCTTTTTATTTGTCCTGATGGGTAAAAATAATAATAAAAAATAAAATTCGCAATATATCTTTTAGTTTTATAATATCACCTGCACTGACCGTAAAGTTTTCCAAAAAGTCCTCGAAAAGCCCCACGGACCACCAATTGATAATCACAGTTGAATCTTGTTTTGTGGCTCCGGACACATTTTATTAGTGAGACAAGGAGCACAAATGGCTCCTTTTGATTGTAAAGGTTGCAGACCCCTGCACTAGACATATTTTAAACAAGTTCTCAGAAAGTTATCGTTTGATCTTACGTTAACTTTTGAAATGAGTCCAGTTCAAGATGGCCGCCACTGCGTTTCACAAAAATGGCTACAGCTTGATCGTATTTCCAGATACTGAGCTAAAGTTTGATATGGAGGTAGCTGAGAGTCATCTTCAACACATAATCTGACCCCTAACACATTTCACAAGATCTCTTAATATCACATATCACAAGATTTGAAGGAGACGGCTGTAACTCCACACCCTAAACTCGGGCTTGTAAGGAGGATTTATTTATTTGTATTCCTTTAAGGAGCACTAGGCCTTTAGTTTGGTTAATGCAAATGTGAGCAGCACCAAGAGACTCAGTCAGATCACAAACACTCGACTAGGCCTAAGTTGTTCACTCACTGATTGTGACATTTTTAACCACGTCACATAATCTGTTCTGTGCCTCAGGAGACAAGCTGCGGTCTCCACAGAGGAGGCCGATTGTTCCTACTGTTATAAATTAGTTTGCTCTGTTATCACCAGTTCACAGTGTGGCTTTTGATTATATTCTATTTTTGAAGCTCCTTTGTAAGCACAGCAACTGAGCAAACTCAACGAAGCGTCAAAAGCTGGCTTCAGGCAAAAATTAATTTAATACAACAACAACAAAAACATCAATAATTACAACATGTAAATTATCTTGTCACTAACAAGGTGAGCGAGGGAAAAAAATGAAACGTTTGTGGGATCCAGGCTATAAATAGAAATTAAGAACTGGAAAAAATGTAGAAAGAAAAGATTAGGAAAGCTGTAATAAATGTGTAACAGTGTAGAAATAAATAGAAACAAAAGTCAAACAGTTATTATTGGCGCAGCGCAGAGGGGGGAGACTACTTTACTGATATTTTTACCTCTCAGAATCGGTGGTATTTTATGAGTTTGAAAAAATAATTAAAACATTTTCTTGCTCAAGTAGCATTTTTTGTGGTTTCTGCAGAGCTCCGATCTAAAAGTGACAGAAAGCACACGGAGGAGTCTGTCGAACCTGACTTCTTTGTTTAATAAACACCAATCAGGCTGTCTTTGCTGAAGCAAAGCAGCTGTAATAGTCTCAGCTTGTGAAGTGAGACACAGCAGGTCAAATATTCAAAAACAGCCTGAACCACCGGCCGGGTCGCAGTGTTTCCCAAAGTTGGGGTCGGGACCCAAAGTGGGGTCCCAAAACATCAAGGTGGGGTCCTGACAAGATTTTCTGAATTAATGACATTTTTGCCTTAGTTGTTACAAAGGAGTGAGGTTAGTGTATTTAAAATGGATAAATGTAGTAT